AAGTACGAGTTTAGCGGATCGCAATCCGCTTACTCCAAGAGTAATTATTGCCTTAACCTAAGGCTAATTAACTCTTCCGTTTTCACCAAAATCTGACTTTATTTGTTTTATCTGCGGCAAAGCCGCCTAATTAAAATGTATAGATTTTCCTAAATATATATATAGTAAAATCTAAATACGTACATAACTACGAACTACCTAGCCACGTACCGTACGCTTATTTGGGTGCAGTCACACCATGCCCATCTCGTGTGACACACACCCCTGTTACCAGGGTACGTGTAACTCCATTACAATATTAATGTACTGTGCCATTACTCGTGGTAATCATAGCCATGCTAAGCAAGCTTCTCTGGTTTGTGCAACCGGCCAATTTACCATAAATTCAATGCGCGATGGGATTGAGCTTGGCTCAAAAGTATTCATAAAACGAGATCATGCCAGCGGCTAAGACATATTTCTCTGCAACAGAAAATAGATTTTTCGATCTCTGCAAGACGATGGTCAGACAAATTTCGGAATAGGCTTTAACTTCTTTTTAGCTATGTGGAGGAATGTTGCTGGTGCATTTCGCTCGAAGATCGTACTGGATATCTCTTGTTCGCACGAATATTTTCTAATTATTTCGTTGAGTAAGCCTAAACGATACACCCTATTATGCCGTATGCACTAAATTTTTATCAAATGTTTGAGCTCAATTGTGGCTCCATTAAGCTTATTGTTGATACGCTGATTTTTCCGCGTGCCGTCGGCCTTTCAAACGCAAAAGTCGTATCAACTGAGGAGACGTGCTCTATTACTTAAGGTGCTTTTTAATCTGTAAGAAAAAACATCAAACTGTCGCCTTCCTCCAGAGATCACGGCTGTTAGCTGGTTATAAGATATTTGACGCCACGGACCCAGTCAGTTTCATGACGGCATTTTCGATTGGGTGGCTTGGTGGTGATTTGTCATCATGTAAAAATACTCCTTGAAAAAGAAAAGAAAGAAATTGTTTCCTTGATAAGAATTGCTGCTTCAATCCTCACGTTCAGGTCGGTGATCTCCCATCTTATCGTTTTGATTATGCATCCATTAGGGAAAATCGTTAATAAATAAGAGTGTATCAAAACCTGGACTACGAAAACCGATTTAAAATGTATACAATTTTGTGCACAAACTTTTGAAACTTTGATGTTTTGCATGGTGGGTGCTTCATTCAGTCATGACCCAGGTATCTTGTCGGAATTGAGTAATGTCATGACCAGGCCCTATTTCCGTCGCCTATCTCATCAAGTACGTGCCTGGGACACCACGGCTTTTTGTCTCTTCGTTTTTCTCAGCATACCCTTTGATCCCCAATATGATACGGCTTTTTGAATCATAACACCGGTATACTTAGAGACCGCGAGATTCAGTCGCTTATTCTCATCTCGGTAGACTTCTAATATGGAGAAGTCGCTCCTGCCTTCCAAGCCAAGCAAGGCTACAAGCAAAATCGCTGTTGATTATCTGGATAGCTCCATGTTTCGAATGAAAGCTTTCGCCCTTCAAACCTGCGCCAAAGCGCGTTAGCTCCAGCGATCTAACTAACAGAGACAATTAATGCCTTTTCGAATCTCCACTAGGAAGGCATTGTTCGGTACCTAATGTCTTTGTCGTCAGGTTCATCCATGGCTCGTGCATTCCATCAAAATTTTATCTAGGATGAGATCGTAGCCTGAATTGAGGTCTACGACCAAATAGTGCCTGACGCTTACAAAGTCTTGTCACTTTATCTCGAGACTCAATATGGCCTATGGCACTTACATGTTTTACACCGCTGCGATACAAACGGCTTTTGTATCCACGATAGCATCATCAAGACCTGCAAATTTCTACTACTCTAAAGAATTGTACGTCACAAACAACTACATGTAGTTTATAAATCATTCAGGATGGTTTCAAAATAGCATCAACGGGCCACAAACTTAGGCTTTAAGCTCCACCTGTCCGATAGCGGTCGCTTCTTAACGGATGAATATTGCGAAGCTCAAACTCAGTGAAGCTAAATTGAGCTAACTCCTTTCCAGTGGGCCACTCTGCTTATATAGGATGGGCTCGATATTTCACTGCGAGGGGCGTTTTGATCAGCTCTGCGTGGGAGCTCGACCCTCTGTACCTCTTGTTGGGCGTAAATGTTTTGAGTCCCCAGGTATTCTCTGCGTGGACACAATGACGCATCTCAGCAGCCAAGGGATCGCTCTCTCAATACCCTGCCTCGATATGATCTAAGGCCTCTTGCACGCTCAAGTCCTTCAGTGCGCATCTTAACCAACCATTGCAGACTGAAAGCTGTATTATGTCATCAATGCAATAAGGATCGCTCGCTAATAGAAGTTGATAACGAAGAAGCTATCGATGCGAGCGATGCTTGTAAACTGCAATAACGTAAAAGGGCCAGCCGACCCCTGTACCATAGATCTGTATTCTTGCTCAAATGCAAGCAAATTTATTTCCCAAGCAAGTGAATACGAGTTGCACAGGGATCAAAAGGCGGCGCAACGACTCGCAATATCCACCACTTGAGAACTTACCCTTACAGAAATGTTTCTGACCGCATGTTAGTTCCCGTTATCGCGTTTGATCCACTGCTTTATAATAGTTTGCGCGGAGCAAGATTGCTTTAATCAAGCAGATAAAAATGATGCCAAACAAACATCCATTGTAAGGTTTGGTGGTATTCCACCGAAATCCAATTGTATTAGTCTGGGGTGCGTCACTATCGCTTGGTAAGGTGGCGGTAAGCACCACAACGTGAGTGGTGATTACAGAGGCCTTCAGCCGTGATATTCCCCAGCTCCATTCTCACATTCGATACAGTCATGAAGACCTAGTGCGACGAAATTAACGCGCACCTCGCACAAAAATATTTGACAATTAATGTTTGCGTTAGCTAACAAGCGGAGGATTATTTATAGGCCACCACTGATGTGCAGACAAAGGGATTAAGACTGTTTATACTCAAAGATAACTTACCTTGATATTTTACTACCTAGATTATAGAAACCTATATTTCGCTTGGCTTGACCTTTGTGTAGGCCTCTGCTTTATCAAATACGGTTCTTCCTATATTTACAACGTTAAATTCATGATAATCCTTCATGATGCATATAAGCCTCGCAATTGTCCGAAGGAGAACATCGTAATGGATACATACACCATGTAAAGGTACTTATTATGTTATACCCGTAAAATGCGGGTCACTACCAATTTGTCATACACTGATTCGCATATAATGAAAGCGCTACAAGCACCCACTGTGTATCCATATCCGCGTCTAACGCTTGCAAGTGCTCATTGCACCAGATTGCTTGCACTAACTTGCTTTGTGAAATATATAGTTTGACGAGACACCCAGAAAGACGCAGCCCCTGCACTAAGGTAACGCAGGCCATGTCGGTGAGGCGATTGAAGAATTCTTCGATGAAAGTTGACCCTTTCGAGTCTCAACACAGCAGTTGCATCGTCACCGAAGACTATACTGCCAAGCCATTTCCCGTCAATGGAATCCTCTCCGGTGTTTCGATATTCCCTATGCTAAACTTCACTTCAGCACGAGCTTCGCACAATAATTTCGTCCCCGTTAGGTGGAGGGTAGTACGACACCGTAACACGAAGTTCACGCTGAAGTCAGACAGTCGAGCTTGACCGTCTGCGAGCAAAATCGTCGCAACGATACTTGATGAATTCACCGCAGACCAACAACGTCGTGAACATGTCGTTTCCGTCAAAAGCCACCGACCACACGACAAATCTCTTACACACCTACTTGTGTGGACCTTCTGCGTAAATTGGGTAAATAAAGCGCGCTTAAAAATTGCCTAGAGGGGGGAGTTAATGTTCCGCAGGTGACCGTTTTTCGTTCACAGTGGTTGCGACAACAAATGCTTTGTTCAATGGTCTCATACTGTGAGGGAACATATGGCCCCTTTCGAGCATTGGGCGAAGAGAGTAAACTATGGCCTCAAATGTCGATTTCACGTAAACATACAGGCTAAAACGTCGTGTCATGCTTGTCCTTGTAAAGTATAGAGTGTGACGTCGACATCGTGGTGGATACATGCTCTCATCTCAGTTTGTGCTATAAACAGCTGAATATGCATGAGCGTGCTGGTACAGCTACCAGTCACAGCTCGAGCTTAAAACATGGCTAGTCCTTACCAGCTGGTGGGAAGTGCGTTGCACTATACGACCCTGTCCCTAGCTGGGAGATTAAAGACAGAGGATGAGCGTAGTTGAAAGCATCAATGGACGCAGGTCGATTCTCTGCCAAAGTATACCTCAATCTTCCATGGGTATCAAAGCGAAACTTTCCACTATCCCAAATAATGCTTTCAGCGAGATCGTAATATTTTCACAAGACTACGGGCGACATCACATTAATCATAACAATGCCGACGATCGCTACGTGGCTTGCTCTCGTGATCTTACTAGGTTCATACGGTTCGTCGACTCTCTCCAAAGTCCAGGCGTGCGTTTGATCCGAATTTTTGTCGTCGATCGGATGCGTCAAAGTGCTCGACAGGCTTGAGTCACCCAAGCAAATTCGAAAAAAGATAGCTAAGCGTAGGGGAATGCTGAGATCCTAATACGTGTTGAACAGAGTGCTTTCCATCCGAATCGCACTTGAGAATCGGGATTATAAGTTGGTTCTCCTGGGACACAAGCTGCGTCTGCATGCTCTCAAGATTGACAAAGTATACTTTGATCTTCTTTTTGGTGACGATTGGAGGTGATCCAGTGCAGCAAGGGTGAACATAAGCTCAATATACTGTGATTAAGTAGCTCAAAAGCGTTCGTTCTAGACTGACCAAACACAACGATACATGTTCGTATCGTCTGCTCCTAGCATTTGTGCTTTGCGCCTGAAAATTCTGGCTTTCGGCCAAACTGTTGCGTATGGACACTTATTACATGACGCTAATTTATTTGAAATGAAAATGTCGAGTTGTAGACGGGCTCATGTCATTAAATTTATCAATACCGCTAACCCAGGACCGGTGCCTTTTGTGTAGATGTCAAGGAACATGGCGATAAACTGAACCATGTGTAAAACATATCGTTAACTTATCGCATATCTTGTTAGGCGAGAGCATGCCACCCTAGCACCGCGGTCGCTTCGTCCAGGCGCACTGGTATATACCTTTTTACCAAGCGATGAACACATTCGGCTGAGCATCGATTCGCATACGGTTAGTTGCGAGTATATCCTGACCCGGTATCTAGAACCTGAGTAGCGCTCTGCACGATTTTGCGGAAATCTCGATTCAAATTATTGCCACAATAGGGATGAGAGTCGCTGTCAGGAGCGAGATGGTCCATCTTGTTTGGATCATTTGCAAAAATAATATCGATACTTATTGGACTAGTCGATCAAATACCGGAATAGTAGCCAAAAGCACCAACGATTGAGGCAAAATCTTGTCCAGATAATAGGTTTTGAATGTGCGAACATAAGTGCTTGCCCACCAATCAAAAGCGTCATAGAGCACTCGAGTTTGGTACATTACGATTACTTGCTGAAAAACTGTGTCTATCGCATCATCAATTCCTTGCGGTAGTACCTCTTTACGAGGCACCGCTGCGCGCTGAGAGCGTGATGTAATGGAGAAACCTGAAGACCAAGAATAGTAGTTAACACGCTTCCAAACGCGACAAAACTATGCAAAACGCCTCGCTGCTAAAAGCTTTTAATAGTGTAACACATGTTGTGTCCGACCTGAACGCAAAACTCGCCCCTGTCGCGTTCTATAAGGTGATGTTCAGAAAGGCCGTGTGAAATACGGCACGATTGCTCCATAAATGTTATGTCTAACAAGGGAAACGCCAGCCGCAAAACACATATTGTCATAACAACAGAATGTCCAGTTATGAACGTGTGAGCAACCATGGAAATTGTGGCAATCGAAAATGATGTGCTGACGTGATAGTCTATTTGGCATGATTGAGGCCGCGGATACTCTATGATTGACCCAGAGAGTTCCAACAAGAGCGACGCGATGTTAGAGTCGTTGCAATAGTGACGAAAAAGAATCCTGTGAACCAATTGACCGACGGTCATCTGTAAGCTTGGAACAGTACTAAATGATCGACTCTGAGGTTTTGCGCCCTACTTCGTTCGAAAAGCGTTTTGTGGCGAAAAAGCACAACCAACATTAAATGAAGCTGACCTGGCTTATATGTTATCTCAAAGACCAAAGATAGACATGTTCATAGATTGACTCTTCTGTACCTCTTGAGGCTGGCAAAATTTAAATGCAATGACTCGCTTGAAGTGAAGCGCAGCCTGTCCCAGAGGTCGAAATCCATAATCAAATCAAAAGATCGACGCTAATTTGGACGGTTTGGCATGAGACTCTCTTCGAAAGTCTTAAAGACCATTCATTCTCCTCGCTTCGCAATTTGGTATATTTCACTGGAAAAGTTGAAGGGTCAGCCAAGTCGGCGTAATTTCATCGTAAGAAATTGTACAAGTAATAATCAGACCAGGTCATGTTCCATGATCCATTGCAATCGTGACACTAGAAATGTAACTTTAATTCTGCCTACAGACCATTCTTCTCTAAGTAATATCTTGGAATTTTGTGCCCGCGAAGGACACACTCGTCGAGGTTGGAAACCATAGAAAAAAAGCGCATACACTCGAGCACTTCTTGCAAGTGATTGATTGGGATGTCCTCATCTGGCATAACTTTCTTCACACGACTAAAGATGACCATAATATACAACAGTTCTGCGCGCATAAAAGAAACTAAAACAGAGCATTCCACTCCAAGGACTCTTTCTCGCGAGGACAGCGAGCGACAAGGTCATGGTACTGAACAGGGAGACCGGACTTGCAGTTTTAGCGCAAATATGCTCTAGAATTGACGTCTGCGCCAAAACGTTGGCTGGACCTAGCTCGTCATAAGCATGTACAGTCTCTGCTTGTTATTATCATTTTTGTGCAAATACTTAGCAGCGAGTGTGGAGATTGATTTACTCTCACTAAACAATCTCGCGCATAGATGAAAGCGTCATTGATGGCACACTGTTATCTAGAATTGGCACGTCAGTCAATACTTGGTTTGAGACACCAGATTTATCTTATAGTCAAACATTCAATCTGGACGTCACACTCACAACGAAACTCTTTTTACTACGCCATGATATTTTTTCAGCAACTAGTAACAGTTATTCAAAGAATATTTGAGCATGTCTGTCTCCATCCTCGCGCTCAGTGCTTTTCAGACTTTCTTGATGACATACTGTCGACATCAGACGATAACTTCGGCTTCTCCTGCCTTTGAATACCAACTCGGGGGATAATTCTTTATGCGATACAAGACCTTATGCCTGAAGTAGTGAGGTGGCGCTAATATTCCATATGGTTAACCCGATTATTCCATTCAAGAGTGAAGAATCTTGCTCTCCACATTTTTTGGGACCTAACTGCTCCAAAAGGTTGCTTCAAAATATAATTTGGCAAGGTCAGTGGTATTGTCACGCCGGTACAGGGATACATTATTCTGAATTATGTCAAAGCCGATCCCGTCTCATTGCAGCATGAAACTATTTGTCTTTACAGCAGCTTTCCTCGAGGCAGCACAAAGCGGCTCCAAAAGATCAAACTTTGATAAATGCAATACACCTACACTTGTCTGCCCATTAATTGATAATGTGTAACATAATTTTTTTGTATTGACAGGGATCTACTCTGGAGACCGCGACATTCACGCACACAAACTCGTCACGATATATATACCCTCCAAAGTATGCGATGATCTGGGGCTAACTTCTGTCTCATGTTGATACCGCGCGTTACAGATGCTCCTGTCTTTTGTGCTAAGCTCGAAGCAAAACAATTTCATAAGTTCTGATAGCGCCAATCATACGCCTTGCAACAAAGATTTTCTAGCTTCACACCTGTACTAGGAGATAAGTGCAGATCATCCAGCATCGTTAACTTTCAGTCAATGAATGGCTCATGGCGCGCCATCCAGGTCATATATAGGAAGAATCCGTATCTCAATATAAGTCTAGGAATAGAACAGCGTCCCAAGCTGCCAAAGTCTGACATTTTGTAGTCAGGTTTGTAAGAGCGCTCAGCATGTCCGTATCGCAACTTGCACGGATATGAGATCCACAATCAATGCTTCAACATGCTGTCTAGTGTTTCAACCTTCGCGCGCAGCACATGATCGTACTATAGGGATTTGTGCCGTTACAATCCTGGAACGTTACTACTAGCAACCAATAAACGTAGGATATTACCCCATCTTTCTTGTATAGAGTTGCTCCCTCTAGTACTGGGTCCCGTTGAGCTTAATTACCACGAATTGAACAAAAGCCCGGTTCTTCCTAGTAGGCCGCTGTGAGCGTACTGCGTCACGACTTTCACTACAAGATTTATGTCGATCCGCTCTGCATGAAATCTCAATCATCGTACTTCACAATCAGAAGAGAAGGGGATACGCATGGTCCGCGACTTTGCGCAGATCTTTATTTCTACGATGTCCTCAGGTATACTAGTAAAATATAAATCTTTGCAAATATTGTGTGTCATACGCATGGATAGCTTAGTTGCGATCACGTGAAGAAGTAGTTTGCGAGTGACGATGGCACTGATATTAATTCGAAGAAATGACGTTTGTATGTGGACTATGGCCTAAGAAGTTGACTGAAGCCGTAGTTGACATGATAGTTTACTTGAACGTTCCAAAGAACCCAGAAATTATTGCGCGAAGCTGCTGAGTCTTAGCCTTCAATTGTATCCTGTTAGAATCAATAGTCACCTTCAAGATTCTAGATGATAAGAGTAACGATGCATCGTCGGCAACACATTTGCAATACCCAGCTTGCCTTAGCGTGAATAAAGATACCTTGAAGAGAGCAGATGAAGAGAAAATTCTATCGATAATAATTCAGAGCTGAAATTTAGCTCATCGTGGGCGCTTCTTGAACTGTGCTTGATAATGTGCAGTTTGTCCGCTTCACACTCAAGCCAACTTACAAAGTTATACTGTTCATAGCAAAGAGATCAAGCAGAAGATTACATTGCCATGTAACGAGAACGATCAAGAATCTTCGTTGCTTGTAGAGACATTATGTGTCAATATAAATTTAACTAACATTTAATTCAAGTCATTTCCACATACGAAGTTTTCTATGATTACCATAAAAACTTCTATCTACATGTCTTCGAGTAGACAACTAAGTATGTACAAACGTGCTCTCCAGCATTGCTTCATTAGCAGCTAGGTCCATTTTGTTGAGCGCTACATCCATTTATTCTAATCCAGATCGGTCCTTCCATTAATACTTCTGCTGTTCCACTGCTACTTTGCGCGCTGAGATTTGTTTTGCCTCCAAAAGACATTCAAGACAGAATAACATCGACTTTTGCATCACCTCGTTCCCAATTCCAATCGATATTTTCTTGTATACCGAACATTTGCCGCAATATGAACGACGGCACACTTGACACGTGCCTCCACGTGAAAGCAAATAACTCGTCAGTTTGCTGAGACTGCGAGTACAGTTAGCGCAGTGACCGCTTGAGCCAGGAACACTAATTATCGGGCGAGCTTGACGAGTTGATTGCTTCATCATCCATGTTAACTTGTACGCAGTCGCACACTCCATTGTATTGACAAGTGCCATGATTTTTTCAGCAAATGCCGAAGCTGCTACATTTACTGGCACATCTCCATCTAGCTGCAAATAGGCACGAGAAAACATTTCGACGGAATGATGACGTGAACCTGTGACAGGAACTCCACTATTAGCAAATGTTTGGCATACTGACAAGTGGCCGTGTAATACATCGTCAGTTCGAGGCAGTGTGAGGACGTCTGACAAGTCAGTCGACTGACGGAGACCATAGCTCACCATTTCACCCCGAGAATCTTTAGTAATACCTGTGGATTCTAGAAAGACAAAATCACGAGGTTGGCTAAATCGACCATAAGTCTGACGTCCCCATTTGACACCAATGAACGTAAACGGATTTTGAGGTGTTGGTTTAGCTAACACAAGTAACAATCTCGAGTCTTCAAGCTCAGTACCAAGATATGACTGACGCATCATACAATGTTGTTCAGAATCTGCAAGCATACCCAATACAGCATCTTCAGCTGTACCATCGACAGTTCCCGAAAGAACGACAGCCGGTGGTCGTGTTTTTTTAGCACGAGGACGATCGTTGTCAATTGTTGTTTTTGACGTATTTGTTCGCGAGCTAGACGACGATGACGACGACACTGCGTCTGATGTGTCACTAGAGGGATCCGATCCATGTAATGTGCGACGCGAACGGTAAGCGCGGACATCATCCTTTGTCCGAACAAGCTTCCATGCCGATGTATCGAGTTGGCGACCATTAGCAGCAAACGCAGATCGTAGCTCTAACGTGCTCTGCACTAAAGCCTCAACTTCGGCAATTAAAGAAGCTTCACGCTCTGGAGATAGTTTAATGTCTGGAATCGCCACGTCATGTACGTTAAATTTTGCCATGCTTAACATGCGTTTCAAGCTTCCAGGCTTTTTGCGTCGTTTGTATAAATGAACGAGACAACGAGTAGAACGAAAACGAAGGTTTTTTGTCAGCGACCATCAGTCGCCCTTATCTTAAGGTGGCATCATGACGACATGGACTGTCTCCAGTAAACTTGACTTCTCGATGTCCCTCCCTCTCTACTTTGTGGTGCCAGCGCTGGCTTTTAGTATCAACAGTGAGATGTACTTGATGTCAACAATAAGCTTCGTCTTCCACATATTTGTATACCTGCATTCATGGAACCATAATTCCTTTATTTTTCGGATGTGATGATAGCTATAATATTATCAGTTCAGTAAGTTATACTAAGGAATTCCCGTATTTCCAACAATTGTCTACAAATTCTTGCGATTGTACACTTTTGAAGCTTATTCGAAGCAAAGCATCGCACTACAAAACGAATTAAAGTGCTTGGATCGCTACACTTTATGAAGAAGCTAACACTTCTTCGAAATGTCTCTGTGATGTATCGTGACTTTGTATGGATAGACTCATGACGAATGTGCTTCGTGAATGTCTCAACTTTTTATTTTTTTTTTGTTTGCTTGTTAATCGTAGAAATTCTCATCTAGATTTCAAAAGCAAATTTAATTTGGAAGCTGTTCAGATTATAATCTATCTGAAAATGCTATAGTATACTTCGAGCCAGTGTCGAAATATTAAGAGCAGGGCAAGTCACTATCAGGACATAAACATCATGAACCCAATACTTCATTGAAATCCTCTAGCCAACCTGAGCATAGGCTCTGTCCACCTTAGTGTGAAGCTAAATCTTATCGTCTAACGACTCTCCCAAACTCTTATTCTTGCAGACATGTCATTAAGCCGATTGCATCCACACATATGTTCTAAAAGGACTTATGCTACAAAATTATTTGAAAATATATCATTCGTTGACCAGTGGAGGAGGACCAATTTTTCTGCGCGTTTGAACTCTACAAATGAGCTTGACTGATAATTTGATAAGCTCCTTTCGCAAAATACTATAAGTTGAGCGTTTGCGCATCATTCAGCTTGATGAATCGTTTCAGGAGTCTAGACGTTCAGTCATTCAGTACGACTGATCACTTAGTGTGGTCATACACTTTGACTTCAAAACGCCACTGTAAGGATCATAACAATGGGTGCAGGGGTGCAGGATCTGACTCATCTATCATTACTTTACGCCCCTAAGACAGGAGTAATAAAGATCACTTACTAAGATGTTGTAACCTTCTACCAAGTTGATGTGAAGCGACACAATGCATCAAAAATAAGACAAAGAAAGTTATCATCAAAACCACGTAGAATACTCAGGAGTTCTTCTTCTTTTTTCATCTTGATAAACGCAGATTGACGCGTCCTCCTTTTACAATTCCTGACTCAACACTTTTCTATTTACCCAAACGCCTGTCAGATTCAACAAATCCATTCCATGTTCTGTAGGCCTTTGTAGCAAAGCCTCAAGAATTCTAACTCTAGCAGAAGGTTACAACATCTTGGTAAACGTTTTATAGCTCCTATCTCAGAGGGTGTAAAAGTAGTGATAGATGAGTTAGATCCTGCACCCATTATTATGAATCTTCAAGTGGCACTTTAAAGTAAAGTGTATGACCACACTAGGTGTTCAGTCGTTTCAGTGCGACTGTGGACATACACTTCAGTCTTACTGAAACGAAACATCAAGCTGAACCATGCGAAGACACTAAAGTTTCAGTCTTGATAGTCCCCGAAACATTCTTTAAGTAATCATTTCGTATCAAGTTGTCGACCAAGCTCACTTATCGAATTCAAACGCACAGAGAATTGGAGATCCTTAGTATTTTAACTGCCCGAATGAACGAGTGATAAGTTATTTTTGTAGCATAAGTGGACGTAGGTCGTCAAAGTTGCAAGATCATGTTGATGAGGTGCTGAGTACATTGCTAGATGTGATGACCGATGTCTACGAGTTCGCAATTGGATTATCAGTCCAGTAGTTAAATGCAAACTACAAACATGTTGTCTTTTCCAAAAAAAATAGGGAGCCTGTAATGTGACTGTGTTCACGTCTTACCATGTCGCTTGCGAACATCGAAATGGAACGTGGGAATGAACACTTCCACACAACAGCTTTCTTGCTTTTTAACGGTGGTGTCAAATATCTCAAAGCCATTAAATCGTACGTCACTCACTATCCTAGTTTAAAAGATAAATATTCGCTTAAAGACCGTTCACATCTGAGTGACGAGCTAAAGCTCATAGCGACCGAAGGTCTCAACTCCTTAAATTGGCCCGAGCAACGTAGCAGCCATTGAAGCTCTGTAAAGTGGCCCGCCGCCTATATTTTAGTCATCCCTTCAAAAATTAATGCCGAGCTCTATGCTATAGCTGAGAATTTCGTCTGCTATTCACGTGAGAGTGGAAGTGATTGCAAATGCTCTCTAATCTCATGTCGCCACACACCACGTTGCTTTACGACATTTAGTCTTTGTCTTAATTATAGGCTGATTTAATAAAAATGTGTGGTAATTTTTCGTATTTACTGTAGTAAATTTCGAGTGATAAAATCATGTAAACATGCTATTGTTTTCATTTTTTAGCCTAAAATCCTTAAATTATGCCACTTATCAATAATAATATTCTATTTCACAAGAAGGACGCTAGAATTCTACAGTGCCTTATGTGGTATCAAGCTAATACAACAGATTAGACGTGTTGCCATCTAGTACAGTGTTGATATGCATAATGTGTGCGTGTGGGATGCTCTGGGTTCCGCATTCAAAAAAGGCATCTGAACCCGTTCGCACGGCGTTTTGTTTATACTATGAGTCAAAGCTACCTGAGTACAAAGTGCACGGCAATTCCGCTGCACTCGGTAGCACTTGCTGTTAATTCAACGACTGAATCCTAATGCGGATACGTACCAAATCATGGTGTACGTACACATTAATGTATTGTACTCGCTACTTTTTTGAGTGAATCTGAAAAGTACCATGATGGACAAAATTAGCTTTCGTTACGGACGGGTGTGATGGCACAGGTACGTGGGACACCTGGGCTATTGGTTAGCCTTACGTCAAAAATGCGGCTTCAGAAATGTCGCAGCCAACTATCTGGAAGAGCGCAGCCGGTCCCCACAGCGCCTTATTGTGCGTGTCCGCTTCTGTTGAGCGTAAAGCCCTTTGAGGAAAAAGACTTCCGGACACGATACGGCTTAACCAGGTCGAGTAAGAAAGAGTGATTTCAGCGGCTTAAGAGCGCCATGATATCCGCTACATCATCGGGGGTACCGAGTTGATACGACTATATGGCATGACATATGGCAGGCACGTTCCTTGAGCTTTTAAGTTGTATGAGGAACTCTGAACGACACGAATTGACAAAAATGTGGTCATAAATTGCGCTAAACTCAAATGCGACAAGATGTTACTGCGCAAATATATGCTGCTAGTGATGCATTTATGCCGCTAAATCCCTGAAGATTATAGATCATATATCTTCTGATGTAATATCGATCAAAGTATCACATTGAGTTGACTTAAGTGCAACATCGATCTTCTAGACACCATGGCAAATTTGAGAGAATCCAAGCTTAGTGATAGCTTAATAAAGCCAGATAGCATATTCCCTTCACAGCGACTTGGTCATAGTCCTCATTTCTACAGCTTTAGTCTCTTGACTACACATATTTTGGTGTAGGAATGGACACCGCGATTATAACGTACTCTTACTGCTTGTGCCTGCCTATCTTTTTGGCGAACATGCAATCGGCGTGGGTACTGCGATAGATTTCGCAGGACAGTTTGATCGTCAGCTGTATTTTGTTCACTACGATGTTGTAGTCAAGCGTCAACCCATTTCTAACGCACACTGCGACGGATTGTGCGTCACACATAAAAGTAGCTTGGTGATTGGACTCAGCTCATTCCCACAAGGTTACTTACATTCAACATTTACGCGGGACAGGATTATTAAAAAGGCTCTGTACAGAAGCGCAACCCACGAAATATTTTTTCAAAAAGCAAGGAAGCTCACCAGACGTACGTCTCTGGTAGTCCCACAGGTGTTACGCTTGTAAACTTTAACGCGCTGCCTCTGTCTGAACACTCAGCTTGACCGAGATTCATTGCTCTGGTACTCTCAACCATCTAGACCATTCGAACCCATCTGTCATATGCAGGAAAAAAAATATGTGTTACATTTAATGCGATGTTCTCTGCTTCGTCACAGGGTTGACTCTGAAGTTGAATTCGCGCGGACGCTGCCCGCACAGATTCAATTCAAGCTATTACCAGCTCTAGAAAATAATTAGCCACAACTCCGGCTATGACTATTTGCAGCCCTTGGATTCAGTCACTCATTCAACTATTTTCACGTTTGGGATAAAAAGAGATCATACCTCTCGTAGTGAGCCCTGGCAAGACCTTTTGCTTAAAAACTGACAAAGTAAGAAGTGTCTCGATTGTAAAGAGATAGCATATGGTACCCATTCCTGCGCACGACCTTCTAGCTTGGTAATTGGGCGATGTACCCTCTATCAATTTGGAGCAGGGCTAAATATTGACCTCTCGTGTAAATTCTTTCTATCTTTGTCTTCTAGGCTTGACGTTTTGGCACTTCACATAAGCTAAAGTACTCTGTGGAGTTCTGCATTGCGCAGTTTGCCAGCTATCCCACAAGTAAACAGAGACGATCCCAAGCTCGCTCTCCCACTTTCAAGCCGACAAACAGCCGACGCTCCGCCCCCCCGCTAACCCGGGTCGTGCTGAGCACCCGCTCCCAGCTTCCGAAGTTCGAGTCTTTCAGACAGTTAGGCGTCTACAGTTTCCTGCAGGCCCATCCCTGCTGTTCGACAAAGAATCAAACGCGCTAAGTCATTCACGAACGGTATTGACTAGAACTACTCCAACTACATTGTAGTGAGATTCACTCATCAGGACGCTAGACCGTACTGACGCGAGTCAATGAAAAGCTCAATTCTATAGGGAGTGGAAAAGGGCATACAGTGTAGACTGCACTAACATTTGGTTCGGGTATTTAGGTACCTTTCGGTCGGTGTTTACTTAGGTGTTATTCAACACTAGAGACACAGTATCCATTTTTCCACCGTTTCTCACTAAGCTTTGAGCCTGCTTACCGCAGCTCTTCTATTTAAATTTTTGGGTAATATCTAATTTCCCGACCCCTATTCCGTTTCTCAGACTATCACGTCTGGATCTCAACGAGACAAAAAGTGGCGCCAAACCTGGCAGAATGCTGTACCGCCAGCCAAATTATCTCGGCCTACGGACGCTGTCTTCAAAAAGGCTGAGGCTGCCTTGCTGGATTCTGCCTGTGACGCCCGTGACAAGCGATGTGTCGCTCTCGCAGGCATTCCACAACAAGTTTCACCCGAGTTGTGTCTCCCGATGTGGATCCCAGCCTGCGAGCTAACAGCCACGGCTCATCGACCCAATCACCTTTGTGGCCAAAGAGTCTAGAGCACTTTACGTGACTTTAAAACTATCCACCACGCCAATATCAGCTTTATTATACCGAAAGGGAGGTGTGTATCCCATTTAGAGGCGAATTAGATACCATTTGTGGGCGCAAATATAAAGTCCAGACGTACTCAAAATACTCCCACTGGATACTGTCGATCTTCAACGACATCTTAATTAAGTTTCTGATGGACTCATTTACGACCGGTTTGCCCAGAAAGTCATATCACCTGTTTACATTATACCTGCTCACGTTGCAGAAAGGCTTTGCTCCCGCAGTCGTCGAGTTACTTTATACAGAAAACGCCCCAGGTTTCGGTTATGCTGGATAAGGTACCCCGCTTCGCTAGATCCAGTTTACTGGGCAAAGCTACTCGGTGGTTTATCGCCGAAACCGAGCCTTTAATAGCGACATCCCACCCTTTATCAAAGAAATACGCGAAAAAGTTAAGCCGACCCGACAGTTTAAGCAAGGCTTAAAAGCGGGCGATACAGCCAGTATCCCGCCTACTTTTGACGACCAAAGCGACAAAAGTGACCGTCCTGCCATGGCCGACGACTTTGGACAGGGAGCCACATAGTGGGGAACATTCTGACCCGGACACGCATCGATGTACACGTTGGACGGTGTCGAAGCTGAAATTGTGGCTCGACCCAAATTGGTTTGGCCTCATGGGAAATGCCCAAATTTCTGGTCGGCTCCTTTCAAGCCGAATTGTTGTCGACTCGACTTATGAAGGCGAAGCGAATAACGTTTAATGCCGCCGCGGACACAGCGGTAGATCTACGACGCCTTACTCCTTTCCATAAGGATTATCTCCTATTTCCTCAATTAGTAATTCTGAGTGGTTGAGCAATGGTGAAGATGAACCCATTCCGCCAGACCAAAATGTCATACTGTTGGACGAGTCGATTGAGCCGCCGCAGTCTGTGGTTTCGTTTGTGGCACTTACTGAAGTAAGTGAGGATGTTATTAATGGAGCGTTGTAGCGAGGCAATGTTTAGTAATTTTCCCTTAAGGATATCTGCAAAGTCACTGAAGGATTTTTGGGCACCTTTTTCTAAATTAGTGATCCAGACATTTTTTATTGTCGACGCTTCAAGTTCAACCTAGTCTTTACCGATCCTTGCTTGATTCCAGCACGGAGGGACTTTCTTCCACCACCTCCGCACCAAAGCTTCTGGGTACGTCGTACTTCGGGATCTAAGCACTCTTACCTATCCGTCAAACGACGATGGTAAAATGTTCAAACGTGTCTCTACTCTATACCCCAACCAGTCCAACTATGATTTTCAGACGTATTTGGGCAACTGTGTCCGGAACAGTTTCAATACTGGCTTAAGTTACGACTGGCCGAGGCTGATCTAGCTCTTCAAATTATTGCACCAAGTGTCTATCTGGACCCACTTAGAATAAGTGTCATCCTTGGGAAGGCAGCATACACACGATGTGGCTACTCTGGGATGATTCGACTTTGGCTGCCGTCATCACGTCGCCCTTGATGGTGCGCATTTTGGCTGGACCTCTTTCCACTGCCTTTCGCGAGACATTTATAGAGCTACGAGAGCAGGCCACTAAGGAGGTCACTTCAGTTCCCACTCATCTCTGATGTGCAGTGGGCCCTACTAGGTTACTCACGTAACGCGAATGGACTAAATGATCCACACAACGCACCTTGATTTTTTTCTCTAACATAAGAGGTAGAAGAGTCTGAAAGGGGCTAAACACCATTGAAGTACGGCTTCGCAGCTAAACTCCAGCTTTTAATCACACGATAATATGACCACATTTACCGGGCAGGCCGGTGTCTGTCTACTGTTAACGCCATCTTACCCAATCCGAGATCTTTGTGACATAACATGTCGGTTTGTGAGCTCTTTAGATCACCTATCTCAGTATATAGTCATTCAAGGCACTCTCGATGGAACTGTCACTCATATCCACGCTGTCTACGCTCCGGCCCAAATAAGATAAATGTCCGACTTCTTTACTACCATACTTCGCCATTTTGAGGACGATTGCCAGCACATCGTAATGGGCAACTTTAACTCTGTTATTTTCAGTTAGCTTAATCAAGCTTGACACAGTAACCGCAATCGACTTCAAGGTCGGAACGAACTCCTTGAGTGGCTGACTGTGTTACACTTGATTAATGCTTGGCGATTTCAACACCCAGACATTCAAGAGCTCATAAGTCCTAACAGAAGCTCTCGCATTGACTACGTCTTAGTAACCTCACGACTTTTTCAGTCTATCTTTCATGACATCCGCCACGAATTTTGCGGCCTTGCGGGCAGTGGTGACCATGCCAGAATTTATTTCAGGCTTGGATGCTCTGAGTTTAAGCCACGAAATCGGGCTTCCTGGAAATGCCCGTCGTGGGTTATTCAGTCGACTGAAGCCCAGGAGTATTTGCAGCATTCTGTGCATGAGCTGGCGGACTTATTTTGGACACCCAATTGGGAATCCTATAATCCGGTATGCCTATGATAGAACACAATCCATATTTCAGCGGGAGTTGTTCCTAGAGAAAAAAATGAGCGGAAACAGGCATTGGAAAATCTCCATCTTAAGGTGAATGAGCTCCAGCTTTTGCAAGCCCAAAATCTGTCTGCTGTTGACCTAAAGCGACTTGCCACTGCTAAGGTCCAACTTAAAGAAAGGTTGGCCGAGCAAAACTACTACGCATCGAAGCACAAGTTTACCTCCGACTTCGAAAACGTGCCAGCGAGGATATCACCTTTTGCGAACGAATGAGATAGTGCTTGAGACCGCAGGTGGGCATGGCGGATATCGCGGCCCCAGACGAATTCATGAAGACTCGAACGAAGCAAAGTGCCGCGTATAGAGCTAAGTCTGTGGGCTAAAATTTTTGGTCCCAGCTTGGCATCCACATTGAGTAGTGAATTTGGACGATACTTACCGGGAAGTTTTCGATCACCCATTTTGAAGAGCTGCGAGACTTGGACCCGCCGTTAGATAATAGTCGTTTTCCGCGTTCAAATTGAGCAACATCGACCACCTAAAATATTTGATTCTAGAGAGGTAATTCCGTCTAGTAATACTCTACGGGTAAGCGGGGTCTTCCCAATATCAGTGTAAGTTAATGCCCAGTAAAACTCTAACGCCGTAAAGGGCTGTCCAAATAAGCTTGATCCTTTGGCGCGAGACGTACCGAATGTTCTGGATAATTTGGGAAAGATTGATACTGTCCCATTTGGGTCACCCGTGACCAAACTCTTTTAAAATCGAGCAGTATATTCCAGACCAGAATGACGACAGTTCGGTGTAAGTTGTCTTCAATACTTTGGCCGAATCCACAGAAATGGTTGTCTTGTGGAGTACTTGAGGCGGCCAAAAGAAAAAGTTAAAGCAGTGCTCGGTGGTTTTACTTGACTTTGCAAAAGCCTTTGTTAGTGCCATCTGGATGCACTTGACATGGTTTTGATGCGCTTTGGATTTGGTGACTCATTTAGACGAGATTCGAGTCCTCTTTCCCGGTACACAAGTTTCCGTAATGTTCAACGGGCGACCACTCGACCCATTTGAGCGGGCGGCCGGGGTTCACTGAGGTGATCCTCTCTCGCCGGCACATTTCGTACTATTTTTATCGAGCCATCGCTCAACTATGTACGTGTCCATCTTCATAACTTTGGACTTCATCACGCGGTGATCAACTTTGCTGACGGCTATACTGGGCTTTTTCGTGATTTAAGCCATACTAAGGTCTTCCAACAACTAGGAGAAGATTTTATGAGGCCTCCGGTATGCGCCTAAACAAAGACAAAACAGCGATTTTTTCTTTCAAGCCTTCGACCAACAAAACATAACCTTTACATCAAAGGCTTCACAACATGGGGGTTATCGTGGTAGGAAATACTGACCGCGCTAAGCTGTTGAGGATTTTCTATGGCCCAAGCCTCACCGACGTTGACCGCCTACAACACTTTCGATTATAGATGGAAAACCGGTGCTCAATTTGGCTTCGTCGCGCGAGAACTTTACGCGGGCAAGTAGTCATTCTACAACAAGATGTTCAACCTTTTCTATGGTATACTGCAAACGTCTGCCATATCCCGGCAACAGAATTTCAAGACCAGCTGTTACGGCTTATTTCGCGCTTCGTGTGCTATCCCGCGACTAGCGGTTCCTTTCCTTGGGCCAAGGGGGACTGGATTTGGTGCCCATTCCAAACAGGATTCGGAGTTTCCAACTGCATATGCTGTGCAAAGTGATACTGGCAGGCAGATTAACGGCTTAATCCCTTTTTGGGCAGACCAGTCAGTTGACTAGTTGATCATGCTATATCTCGATATTCTGTATGCACCCGTGACAACAAGTCCAGTCCATGCAATTTCGCGCCGCTCTCAGCGTTAGGCGGTCCTTGGACTTTACTGGCTAATATTCTTTTCACTTGGCACACCCACTTCTGGTGAAAGCTCAGCAAGCCTACCACGATTTCTGAGCCAATTTGGTTTGGTTCGTTTCGTGAGCGAGCGCTCGTGTGCCAATTTCTTGGACAAGGCAGAAAGACCTAATTAAATTCATTGACTCATTACACGATTGGGCCCTGCAAGGCTTCGCGCTATTACGCTGCCAGCCACACCTGAATTTTTAAAGCTTATGAAGTATCAAAACTTAGCGTGGTTCGTATTTGCTCCTTCTCGCCGAGTTCTCAGTGCTATCGTTGCCTCTTTCCCGGTTTGGCGTTCTAAGCAGTCCCCCTCAGTCAAAGTGGCTAGAAAGGGCAGGCACATTCTGCCAGTCTACCCCGATTTGCTATACAGCAACAGCATAACGCTCTCTTTCTCGGCTATCGGTTTCAACACCTACCCGTACTTAGTCGATGTGCCACCATGGTTGCGAGGTTCTTGAAATGGCCCCTCATCTTTTTGGTCCTGTGACTTTGCCATGCAAGTCAGGGCAGACTAGATTACCGATTTTCAAGCCTTTTTCTTGGTGCAATTGAATGGGATCCATTCTTATTTTTTGAGCTGGAGCCTGAACCGGCGGCCAAGGCCGCTATGGCTATAACCTCTTTGTGGCTTTCCACATTGTGATTTTTCTGTGTCTGTGGCTACATCGGAATGATATCCGCTTTCATGATTTTCAAGCCAATGTTATGAACGTTCAAGCTCGAGTCAAGGCCATCGTTGTGCTCCACATTGAGCGCTTCTATCAAGATCTTCTATATAAATCTCTGAGCCATTTAAGACTTAATCTGCGTAGTCTGCAAGAGCTGTTGGCTAGCCTCCACCTTTCTAAAGCGCTGCCACTCCCGACGCTATGGATCATTAACGGCTGTCTACTATGTGACGACAAATTAAGCGTTGACGCTGGCTGAAGTGCTGCGCTGTGGCCAATCGTGGCTTGCTAGCTCCAGTCATATAAGTGAGGACTTCTAATCCATCAGCATGGACTTGAACATCCTTTTTATCAACACAATGCACCAATTTATCGGGCAGTCGCGGTGTTCATGAACATCCTTGTCGTACTCGTACAAGCGCACGTCGAAATTTTTGTCCTTGCCACATGCCACTTGCTGTTGACCAGGCTAATCATCTCGCTGCTACCTTGAACGACCTTAGTGCCCATCTCAATTGCATGATCACTACCAACTACTACGAGTTACCGTGGCCTTGTGCACAGAAAGAGCTTTGCTCTCAGAGCGGTGTACATAAGAACGGGTCAACGGCCGTCCCAAACACGCAAGTCAAGATCCTCGCAAGCCATACTACAACAGAGAGGTATATCTAAAGATAAAAGACGTCTGCTTACTCATTGAGAACTAGTATACACATGTTATCATATATAAAAAATGATCCATGCTTTGAGGGTATAAGCTGATGTGTCCTGAATCACTATTCTGACTTGGATAACGGACATCGTAATCTTAGCTCGATGGGGTGTAGATTTTTAAGCTTCTGTGTCAAATAGCTGAGTGCGTAGACTAATTATAATGAATTATCTCGAATAGTAAAACTGATGTGCAGTCAAGAAATATCGATATTTTGGTTATAAATACTCTATAATGTTTAGAGTCAAAAACACAAAAACACAAAAACACTTTTGATTTAAATAGTGGTGTTATTGATACACAACTTACAGCGTTACAATGTAGCAATGGTCTTCATTCCATTGTGTCTTGCTGTTCGTGTCTTGCCGCGTGCTGCTTATGTGACAAGCTAAGCAGATAATGAATATTGGTGATGTATGTCGAAAGCGTGAATGCAAGAATTCTGACTGACTTAACTCAACATATACGTAAGATGGATGACAGCTTACAAGCCATGTACTCAAGGTGATGCCTAAAATGTTTTGACATCCTAGAATTGCATTGTCTTATGGATGCTATGATCGAATTTAATCGATGACTCACTGACGATAAGCGCTTCACAAACTTTATGTAACATTAACTTTATATGACAAGCCAAGGTCTTCATAGCGCTCTCTTTTCGAAAGTGTTGATATGACTTACAGCTTATATCCTTACTAATACTGTCATTGCATGTTAACAAGTAGATTGCTCTTGTTTAGCGACTACTATGTATAAAGTAATACCTAAAGCATCATTCTCTCTCGGCTGATTGTTTGATTCTTCAACTTTTCTTGCGTATGACCTCTTAAGATTTTTCTGTCCCCTTGAGATCTGATCATTTCATTCTTCTAATGTTTGCCAGCAAGCGGATATAGAAGTAAGAGTCAATAGACAATCCTTATTAACAAAAGCCGTTCATTTTGCTATCCTTTGACTTGATAAGCAAAGTACACTTTGCCTGATCGTAGTATACCGTTGTGTCGTATAGCGAATAGCGCGTGTTCGAGCACTTACATTTTGGGGGATTAAGAACGGCAGCTCTAATCTAAAAGTATGAAATTGAAATAAACGGTTTGGAGACTTCGGTCTATTTTGCCTTTGTTGATAGCAACCTAATTGCGTTGCAACCTCTCTAGAAGTCTTGGTAATATATTTCTACAATGAGATTCTGCAGTCCGATGCTCTATACATGATATATTATTGCAGATCTTCTAGTCGTGATTTGGCAACAGATCGGTCACCTCTTTCGATCGATCTTTGCTGACATACGCAGGTGTCCAAATATTCACGTTATGGTTTGTTGTGATTGCTACGCTTAATGGTTGCCAAAAACTTGGCTTAAGAGTAAAAAATTATCGTTTTCTGTGCGTCAGCTTTCGTAGATCTGATTCTTAAGTTTGCCGCCTCCCTCGCCTTAAATTTGTGGATAATTTTATATCCTGGCCAATGCTCAAGACTATGTCTCTAAAACAAGCTACGCATCAAGTGATGTGTGCAATCGTAATCTTCCCTTTTTTGCATATTAAATCAATTGAGTGCCTACTTGTAGCTTAGCGAAACAACAGTGTAAGGCAAAGCATTCGAAGTGCCCATTAAATACAAATTTCGGTCAGCATGTTGTGGTAAGTCTACAATTGACGGAGAGTCTGACTCTGTTCCCGTTAAGTCACTCATCAGTTGTTCAGTTGGCTATCCAATGACACAAGAACTTTTTCCTGATGAGGATTCACTCCCTACGATTTGGCTGATAGTTCAATTCCTTAACAATAACATAGTCTCTTGATTGATCGATCGTATCCTACGGGAAACCATGAATTAACGGATTTGATCAAACGTTCAAATGCATGAGCACTTTCCATTTTAGACCATTTGTCGTGTATCATAACCCACTTCTGTTCTATTTGCTATAGAACAAGTCTCCTTTTCAAAAACCTTTTTATCTTCTGTCGGCAGTAACTTGAAATTAATTCCAGAGCTGTGGTTGATCGTGCATCATATCGTCAGTCGTCACACTTTGCTACATATAAGTGTTTTACGGGTTTGGATTATAGTACTGACACACTAATTCAAAACCTTGACATGTTGATAAAGTTATCATACCTTTCTTGTGAAAAGTATGACTGACGCACACACCTCCATTGCGAATAAGTTGGGACAAATTCTAGTTCTACGTCATTTCGTAAGGTTTGCTCGTCAATTGTGGTGATACAAGGTTTGACAGCATACACAAAATCAGCTTAACGTATTCAGTTTACCAAAGATATTGAAACGTAGATATTGTGGTAAATTCGAAACGAAATGAAGTTAAGACAGAGATATCAAGCTAAATGTATTCAAATCAATAAAATCAATACCAATTTACACTCCCGATTGTTGTTGTTCAACGCGAAATTCATTGGTACACCTTGTCAGCAGCAACATCTCGTGCTGGTATAGCCTTTGCATCCAACAAACACGAGAGACAGAAGAGCATTGATTTTTTCAATATTTCACTTCCAAGGCTTACACAAATCTTTTTGTGCAAGCTACATTTGTTGCAAAAGGTTCGACGACACACTTGACATGTACCTCCACGCTGTAAGACGTACGTACTAAATTTACGCAGATTGCGTGCACAGTTGGAGCAGTGATTACTTGTAGTGATACGACCAATGATACTACCTGTACCTGGTCGAACTTGTCGATTTGATTGCTTCATTAAGTATGCAAGTTTGTGACCATTGGCACACTCCATAGTGATAGCAAGAGCCATGAGCTTCTCAGCGTATGCAGCTGCTGCCACATTCACAGAAAGATCGCCATCAATTTCAATAAAAGCTCGTGAGAACATCTCAGCCACACGATGGCGCGTGGTACCCGTTGAAATTGTATTACCAAACGTTTGACAACCAGACATATGGCCACGAATTGTATTTTGTGGACGTGGCAATGTGAGAATGTCGGATACATCAACGGATTGACGAACAGCGTAGGCTACGATCAAACCTTTGGAATCTGTCGTTAGACCAGTACCCTCCAGGTACACAAAGTCACGAGCTTGACTAAAACGTCCATACGATTGTAGTCCCCATTTCAAACCAATGAAACTGAATGGATGTTCGATTGTTGGGCGAACCAACACAGTAAGCAGACGTGCATCCTCAAGCTCTGTACCCAAATATGATTCGCGCATCTTAGCATTGATCTCTGTATCAGCAAGAAACCCCAATGCTGCGTCTTCTGCCGTCCCATCAATTATACCAGAGATCACAACAGCAGGTGGTCGCGTCATTTTCTTTTGTTTTCGGTATTGGTGTTCACTGCCTGATACAGTAGACGACATGATCCCAGTCATTTTATCAGCAGCTGATCGATGCGAGCTTGAATTTGAAGACGAAGATCTTGATGTATCAGCACGCGAGTCCGTGGGCTCTGGAGCACCATGAAGTGCACGTCGAGAACGGTAGGCACGGACGTCATCAACAGTTTTCACAAGTTTCCATGCTGATGTGTCAAGTTGTCGTCCACCTGCTGCGAAAGCACTTCGCAATTCCAAAGTATTTTGAACGACTGCATGAAATTCAGCAAGCAAAATTTCTCGACGTTCAGGTGTGATCTCAAAACGAGGTAATTCAACTTCTTTGACGTTAAAACGACCCATGGCACTTGTGAACAACGAGATATTTCTTTAAATGGTCTCCGATGTCTGCTGACCGATAAGCATTACTCGCTCCAATTGCAAAAAAACTGGCTGTCTAACATCCGTTTTCACGGCAAGCGCTTCTCGGAATTGATGCAATCAGGTATACAATGGTATATTAGAAAAACTTGAAAGTCTGATATCTGGAGAGCATTAAAATGACGATACAGTATTAGCAGAATTGTGAAGCCGGGGCTCCTTTGCGTATCGGATCAGGTATCCGCCATAAATTAGGTATTCAATACCTTGTATTGCTCATGTGTCTGCTGGACACATGGCTCCTATGGCTTCATATACCGACTCTACTATGTACATGTGTTTAGAACAAATATAATAGATTTAAGACCTTGTTTTACTGCACTAAATACTAACTTGAAGTAAAAAAGCTCAAAACTGACGCATGCTTGGTGTTTTTTACATTATTTGCACCTATGATATGTTTACTGTAATTAGCAAGCAATGCTTCTGCATCGTATCAAAGTAACGTAATCTTTACATTATGTTGCATATGTTGACTTCATTCAATCTTTAAATGTCGATAATTCTCAACCCAAACGTCAAACGTGATAAGATTTGCTGGATATCTACTTCATCTTATTATATGTAGCTAATAAAATATGCAATTTACTACATGAGTACTATAGATGATCTCATGAAATATAGTACAAGTACAAGATATAGATGTAATATTGCAGCTTCTGTAAGACGCACAGTTTTTGCGATCATTGCTCGTTGCTCGACGATCAACGTGCACAGACCATAAAATCAGGTCTCGTTTATGCGAATCAAAGCTGGACTTCGGTCTGTATAGCTTCACTGGAGCTCAGAACTTTAGTACACTGTACAGAAAAACTCAAATCTGGCTGTTTTAACAATCATAGATTTGTCGATTAATAAAAAATCTGGTCTATTTATTACACTTTCTTTTGCCATCATCCAATCTGCGAGTTATCTATTTCTTTAACATATTTTTCTTTTAGAACAACTGGATTATCGAGCCTTCTGTTTAGTAACAGAACTTGTATCTTGAATCACATTGCATACTTAACTTATTCTCACATTCTCATATATGTTAATGTAATTATCTGTCTTAAGTCTTCAACCTTTAACTTAAACTTGAATTTTGCGACTGAGAGAAAATCCACAATTAATACGGACGAAGGGCTACAATAAATCTTTCCGCTTTGCACTAGTACGAAAAACAATGTTGTAAGAGAAGCAACAAACGGTGTAATCTGCAATCAATATCTTCGTGCGTAGCAGATGAGTGGCCCACACAACCTGCTTCATGTGGTCGTATAAGTTAAGATAATATTTCAGTAGATGAGTCTCGTATATGTCAGGTGAGAAGCGACCAGTCGAATTACGACCAGTGCGACGTGCTTTGTAGTGGTACTGATTTTGTCAGAGATGATAAATGCAGTAAATTGTAAAGCGCAGGCACGTATGTGAAGGTCTCTTGGTTTAGTGGTCGCACTATGAGGAATAAAGGATAGGCGGGTTTTATAAATATTACTTAATATACTCAAATTATATTCGGATAGATAGATAGAGCACATACTTCTATAATCACAAAAGCAGCGATAAGTATTAAAGTTACTTTCGTCAAATCATATTTCAATGAATATATATATACCACATATAAAGAATACGAAATCTGACGAAAATACAAAAAGAACCAAGCACGTAACAAGACCGCAAGCGCTAGACTCGGGATATAAATTGGTTTGCTTCGAGCAACGCGTATTTCGACAAATTTGCAGCCTTACAAATTTTAGAAGGGTAAGAGATAAAAATGAGTTTTGAATAGACAGAATTGTAGGATTAGACCACGATAGCATTAACATACCATAGAATTAATAATTACATTTGATAACAGTACGATATGTTAGTCGGTCGTAAAATGCGTTCAGTTTTGTATCTTCCAAGCTCTTTCTAGAATTGATGTTCGAAGATTTGGAGTTCAACAAATGCTAACCAACACAAGTGGCCTGCAAGAATATTTCTACCACGTATGACGCTGCTAATGAGCTTGATCCCACCATGGTATTATATCAAAGCTGGTCTAGTATCCATGCTTGACAGGTTCTTGAATTTTACATATTTTCTTACCTATCTGGTGGAATGCCTTGACTGACGTAGCAGCGAAGAGTCACCATTCTTCTTTTCTCAGGCCGCGAATATTGTGGCTGGACAGTCCACCTGGATAATGAATGGGCTGTGCTCAATCCATTTCTTGACGAATAATATAGCGACCGTGCTTTTTCGATCTTAAAATCTTCAATGATATCTCCAAGCTGGTTGGGGTTGTAGGTCGGCGATCGTCAAGTTTGCTAGTATCATTACTATTATGACGCTTACGTCTAGGTTGAGTAATATCTTTCCAAGCTAATATATACGATTGCCAGTAGAAAAAAGTGGATTTTTCAAGTTGTTTCGAGTAATGTAATTTAGCTTTCATTACGTCCTGCTTTCGTTTGTGTTGCTCACGACTCCATTTTGACCAGAAGTGTATCATTTTTCTAGCTCTCACACCCTCCCAATCACTTAATGCTGCTTCATAGAGACGTTCTTTAATAACTATTTGCATCCACGACTGTATAGTAAAACGTAGTATGCATTGATCAGCTACTGAATTGAGTGTAACGACACAAAAAAGAATCCGAGATTGTCGTTGTTGTTGTATTTTGACGTATGTTCGCCAGGATTTGATCATTTTGTGCAAAATTAATCTTTTATTGTGGTTGGCAACAAATTTTAGTTGCATTTGTCGTGAACATGTTTTCTGGTTCCAAAATTGCCATACTTTTTGTAACAAACGCAACTTCAAGTTTCTTCCAATCAAGCGCACGCATTGTCTAACACGGACGAGATGTTGCCATTTGATGAAAAAATGAATTTTCGTTCTCGTAACTTTTCGAACTATAAATGACTTGCACACTTGTCGCCAATGTCGACGTTGCATTGCAACTTGATGCCACATCACCAAAATTTTTGTCCCTAATTTAAGTTGTCGACTTGTCATCAATCGCAATGCCATGACATTTTGTACCGCCACATGCCATAATTGAAGGTGCTTTTGTAACACAAATCGCTGATATAGATGACGCAAACGTCGTGCATGACAAAATGTATGCCTTTGATGTATTGTGCGACGTCCACGAAAGACACAAAGTTGGGCAAATTGATCCCGATGTTGTTGCATACATTGAGTATAAGTAAACCATCTCTTTCGTACCAAGTTGCAGACATAATAATTGGCTGCTTTTTGCAATTCAGCGTCTTTCCCAGCTTTAATCGAAACATGTCGCCGCCACTGATTCCACATATAATTTCGTCGCTCTTCTAAATGAATGTACTGAAAGTTGCTAACTGCATGTCGCTGCCATTTACGTTCAAGTATTAAATTCTTCCACTCGATAAAATATCGTCGTACTTTTTTAAAACAAACGATTGTGCAAAACTGACCAATTTTTTTCTCCAGATCACATTTTTGATTCCATTGACAAAAGACATTGGCAAGTATCTTCCATTTCTGTCGCTTTGTAATCTCAACAATTGCAAATTGAACTCGTTTGAGTTTTTGAAAACGCTGTCGTAATTTTTGTATAGTACGACACAAGTAAAAGATTTGCATTTGTCTATTACAATACTCAAATTTTCGATTCTTTTGGTTGACATAAGTTAAATAATCGTGAGACCAAAGTGACCAAACTTTTGTCAGTACTCGAGCTTGATAATATGCAGTTAAACTCGTTCGAAGATTTCTCGATTCTTTCACATATCTCATCCATACAAGCCAAAATTTCTTGATTGTTCGTCTCTTTCTTCGCATCATTTCAACAATTTCTAAATTTTGAAGATTACGAGCATAAAGATGATGTTTTTGAAGCTGTTTAACGTGATTTACAAGTCGCGCCCAAGCTTGAAAATGGTTTTCAAGTATCAATTGTTGACGTCGTTTGTTGAAATTGATTACTTTCAAACGATATTGACGTTTGGATTGTGTAGATTGATGCCAGAGCTGAAAATAGTTTTGTAATGAATGCATACGATTGAAAAGATGAGCATGAAAGAGATGTCTCCATTGATGCCAAGCTTGTGGAAGCTCGAAGATTAGGTGAAATTGTTGAAAACTGCGAGCTATACGGGCTAATGCTGCGCTTGAATCCATGATTTCATAATCTTGATTTCTATCTTGAAATTTGAGCTTTGAGTTGGCAAGACTAGTGTCATTATCAATGGAAACAGCTTGACGACAAACTGGATAACCTGGTGATTGACATTGTATCTGTAAAAGTAAGGAAGCTAGACGTTTACGTTGTGCAGTAAATCGCTTCCATATTATAAATCGAAATTGTAAACGAATGTTCACTGCAAGTCTCGCCATCAAGTTACGACAATCAATTTTTTGAAGACATTCGACTTTCCATAGTTGAAATCGTCTTTTCAATCGTTCGAACCATCGTTTTGTAGCAATTTTCACTTCAAATACTCGAATTTGTTGCGTTGTAGCGATAGTCTTACGCCACGATCGAAAACATGATTCGATTTGACGTAAAGTATGTACACGTTCCATTCGTATCACTTTACTGAATAAAAGAAACTTTTTCCAAACGATTAAAACTTTTGTTGACATTTTGACAGTGTAAAATTCATCTGCGACTTGAGTTTGAGAGATATGGATCATCAAAGCTTTCCACATCATCAGGAATCGATGCAATTGTTTCAAAGCACACAAAGCTAGCGTTTGTGATGCTTTCTCTCGCAACGATCGCTGCTGAGTAACAATTGATACCCAAGCACAAAAATACTTTTTCTGACTTGAATGGTTTAACATATTCGAATAGTGACGAAACTTTTGACGATCACTTCTTTGTTTTGTTGCCACTGTTTTCCATTTGAAAAAGTATCGTGTGCTTACTTGATAAAAGTGAAAGGCTTTAGCTCGAAGAAATGCTTGAAAGGTTGCCATTTGAAGCCATTTGAAGGTTTGAAAAGCTCGTACAGCTTGAAGTTGACGAAACAAGCGCATATGATGACAATTTTTAATCATTTGTGACTTCATCCTATGAGTTTGCTCGACATATTCTATCCAAGATATCCAGAATCTTTTGATTAAGTGAGTTCGTACAAAGGCACAAGACTTTTCTTTCATATATTTTGTAATATAACGTGTCATAACATAGAATTTCCAGCTTTTAAAGCTTCGATGTTGTAAGTTTTTCAAAATCTTAATTTGAAATTGGTTTTGAATTCTTTCAATCGCTTCATTAGACTTTCGTTTACGAATCCATGCTTTCCAATAACGCTGCAACATTCGACGTTTACCACAACGCAAGAATAAAAGTCGTTTCCGCCAAACGTTCCAAGCTTTAAACATTACCATCATCTGATTATTAGAGCTCACTGAAGTTTTAGCATTTCGAAGCAAACGAGTGCGAATCATATGATTGTGAAATAGTCGAAACAATTGAAACATTGTCTTAGCTCGCCATCGAGTATGAAATGTATCACAAATATCTCGAAAGTGCTGTAACTTTTGGCTCGCTGAATACCAAACAATAAAGAATGATTTCAATAGACGAAGACGATAGTGAAGTTTATGATTCTTTATTATTCCATTCCACTTTTTCCGCTGCTTAAAATATACAAGCAATGCGTTCCAAACCGTAGAAATTTGAAATTTTCTCGACCATATCATTGCTTTTAACTTTTGATCTCTAGCTTTCTGTCTTGTTATGATAAATGCTACCCAAGCTGACCAAATTGCAGGAATGAGCTTGTTATTATGATATTCAAGCATAACAATTCGAGACTTTTGTGCGAGTGTAGCAATTTGTCGCCATTGAAAAAATGCTTTTTGGACTAATTTCTTCTTTGCTGCCAGTCGAAAACTTTGAGCGTCTTGATACATCAATCGCTGATATCTTTGGGCTTGCATGAAATATCGTAGAGCTTTTATTCCTTGATACAATCGACTGAAATATAGAAACGATAATGACTTTATCCGACATTGCGTCGTTTTCTTAACATACAAATGCCATTGTGTAAGAATTCGAAACGAAAGTTCTAAATCGCGTTGAATAGCAAGTTGTCGCGTCATTTTTGTCACCTCTTTGTGAAAATTTGTCAACGAACACCAAGCTCGAAACGTCGAATGAAGTGTGAGAACGCAAAGTCTTTTCATGTTAATCTGCAGTTCGCGTCGATATTCACAGACCTCAGCGACATATATTTTCCAAGCTGAAAAGCTTTGTTTTACTATCGTTGTATTATACATGACAAGTGCGACAGTTTGTTGTCGTCTTTTAACTTTTTTTGTTCGAATAACCTTCTGCCATTCGTTTAACAATGCAGCAAGAAGTCGACGACAGGATGAAAGATAGAGCTCAAGAATTTCCTCACGTTGGATACTTTTCAAAGCTGCAGCTTGTCTCCATACTTTGATGAATGTCCGATAGATTTGATTCTTGTGTAATTGACAAAGTTGTAAAGTTATCGATCTCTTGTTTCTTACAATATTATGAAAGTTTCGCCACAAATGCCAGATTCGTTTTATCTTTGTTTGAACATTCATCGCATGGATTCTTTTGTGTTTCTTTTCGTGTTGATAGAAAACTTTCCAGTCAGTAAAGAATCGTTTTAATTGAGCATAAAGCCAGAATTTCAATGCTTTGAGCGTATGAATGCGTGCTTGCTTCTGTGTTTGTGTGCAATGAGCCCAACATTCAAATACTTTAGTCACATGGATCATTTTCCATCGTTGTAGCATAGCTTGGAGTCTGATCCGTTTTAAAGAAAATTGAAAGTTTTTGTGCTGCGAAATCTTTTCACAAAGTTGACAAATTGAAGCTTGTTGATATTGTTTTCGTATGTGATAATCGAACCAGCTTTGCCAAGTGAGTTTTAGCATGCGTTTCAAAAGATCTGATTGTATAACTTCAAATGCTGCAATAGCTGCCATTCGACGTTGTAATTTTTTGATCAACCAATCTTTTAAAAATACTTTGTGAATGCCTTTCATTTGTGTCATCAAGTCTTGTTTCTTGTGTTTCAAGTACAAAAAGCGTTGAAGGCCGTGAATAAAAGTTCTGTGTAAAGTTTTGATCTCTTGACAACGAATAAATATTTTAATTGCGAGCGAAAAAGTTGTAAATCGTTTCCAACGAATTACTCGCTGCTGAAGGTTTGAGTTGATTTGAGTTGCTGCTATGTTACGACTTAGAATTCTGACGTGGCGGAGATGTTTAGCTTTTAATCGCCAACTGGTCCACATCGTTTGTTTAAAAAGCTGCATAGCTCTTTCAGAAATGTGAAGCGCATGGTGTCGTAATCGTAAAAATTTCGTAGCAATACATCGCCAAAACTTGACAAGTTTTTGAAGTGATCTCTGACGTCTTTTTTGAGCATATTGACACAATCGAAAGTATTGTTTCCAGCTTGTGATGACATGTCGTAATACATTTTGAATGTACAGCACATTGATCTGATGTTGAGCTTTTTGATACTTTTGAAGATTGAGCCCAACTTTTTGTTTCCACGCTGTGAAATTTCGAACTAAAGTTTGGGATCGTATTTTGATTAAAAAGTGACGACTGGATTGAATGCATCTTGTATGACGGACCCACGCTTGAAAAACTTGACCCTTTCGAGCGTAGAATTGTATGGATAGATTCTGTCGTGTAGCTGAGCTCCATTCTTTCAAAACTTTATGACATGTGTGTCGTATCAAAAATGTATCAGCTCTAAGCTGATTTTGTTGTTTTCTTCTTTGAAAATGTTGAAATTCTCTCCAAATGCAGATACTTTTAAGCAACGTTTGAATCTTGTACTTTGTTATTGCATCGTGTGATCTTTCGCACCTTCTACGATATATTTTCCATGCTTGAAATGCACGAGTTTCGCGTTGTTGGCAACAATGTCGACGTGCTTGATGCATGAGTTCTTGATCTTGTTTTTTTCTAGTAACGAATGCCTTCCAACTTGTCAAATGTAATGACATTAAGCGCAAAAAGCGAAATTTCGCAGCTTTTAGCTTTAAAGATCTTGCAAATCGATTGTGCGATATAAACAATTGCCAATGCTTTAAATGAAGTCGCAGTTGAGAAGTGATTGAGATGTTGACAGTACGTGCAATGTCGAACTTTAAGAGCATTCGGGTTTTGACAAAGTTTTGCCATCGTTTGACACGCTTAAGTTTGAGTGTATTCAGACATTGAATTGCTGTGTTGGTTTGTCGCGACATCAGCTGTTTTGTTCGTAAGGAATTGACCCATTTGATGTAAACTCTTCGTATTAAATTCTTGCAATAACAAGAATGAACAAGTTGATTCCGAGACGTTTTTATTTTACGTGTCTTTTTGAAAATTGACAGATGGTTGAAAGCACTTAAAAGCAGCTTGTGATCTTTTAACGCTTGCAGTTGATTCACTAAAAGGCGAGTTTTAAGCTGATAAAGTCGAAACGAATTCCACCATTGCACTATCCGTTTACTTTTATAACGCAGCAGTTCGCTATGAAGCATAAGATTGTGAAATTGTTGAGCTGCTGTAAACTGCCATTTCATTCTCCATGCGTGAAAATGAGTTTCGATAATCCGCTGCTTTGATGTAAAAGACGTTCTTGTCAGTAATTTGCGATACCTTTTACGAATGCACCAGACAGTTTTCCAGCGCTGAAAGCTTTTGAGTTTTTGCTTGTCATTTTTTAAATATCGATCTCGTAATGCTTGTCGCCAATTCCTCCATACCATTGTGATGACTCTCGTACGAAGATTTTGTCGAACTACTCGCGCTTGTCTTTTGATTCCAATGCGTTCTTTCCACCGTCGTATGCTCATTTGAAGATGGTAAAGATTGCGTCGTTCTGCTAGATTCATTGATTGCTCACGCATGTTTTTACTTCTATTCGTGAAGTCACTCCACAAGCGAAAAGCATGAGATATTTGATAACGATGTAGTTGAATTTTGGCAAGCTGAGCTTCCGATTTCAGCCAAAATTGGTGACGCCATTGTCCCCAGAACGTTCTCATCCAATAGTGACGCTGAATACAATGCTGAAGATTTTCTCCACGAGATCGAATTGATTTGATACGACTATAATGAAATCGCCATACTGCGAAATAAAGTCTTTCGACTTTTGAATTTTGCAATGCTTTAAGTTGTTGGATTGCAAGCTCTTTTTGATGTTCTACGTGTACATTTTCGAGTAGTAACTTCCAGTAGAACGTGAGGACATGATTCATTTGAATGAGCTGAAATTTCCGACAGTTTTCGCTGCGAACTATCTTTTTTGTCGTGTATTGTCTCCATCTTATCGTGATTATTGCCAAATTATGCTTTGAATAAGCTGTTTGAAGACAACGGATCAAGTTGAGAGTTCTCGTAACCTTTTTCCACGAACTCCAGACTCGTTTTCGTCTTAGACGCTCTACACTTTCAGCAAGACTTTTTTCAGTTCGTCGAAGTATTTTCACATGAATTATCCAATTTTTCAAGTACATTTGACTCTGTTTGTTAGCTCGAGCTGATGTCCAATTCAATACTTTTCTTGTCAGTCTTACATTTCTCTCGGTCCAATCAGCCCAAGCCACAAAGATTTGACAAACACATCGTTTTTCAGCATACTCTATCAATTGATCTAGTCGCTTGCGAGTATCTTTACACTGATTAACTCTCAATTTCCAACGACAAAAAGCTTTAATTTTCTGTCGTCTGCATGAAGTTTCAATCCACAAATTCCATCTCGTTTGTTCTGTCAGTTTTTTAAATGCATTGATATGCAATCTATTCCATGAATCACCTAAAGCTCGCAGTCTTTGTTGATCTGCAAATTCACAAAGCAAATCTCGAGTTTCTTGTTTTTGTACTCGAAAGTGCCTCCAACGCAAGTAAGATCGTTTTTTTCGAGCTGCTATCCCAAGTAGCTTAATTTTTCGGTTCAATTGAAACCAATTATGCCAATTTCTTAATACATTCCGTTTAACTTGACTCATGCGATTGTTCTCGCCTTGACGTTGACGCATTTTGCAATCCAATCTTCTTCTCCAATGTACTAGCGACAATCGCAATTTCAAACGACTTTGACGTTGATATATCCATTGTGTTCGATCTTTCAAACATCTTGTGGTCTCTGTAAGGAATCGCCATTGTTGAATACATTGAAATGCAGTCTCTAATGTAAGAGTACGCTCACGAATAAATCTTTGTACACGAAAAGATTTAAGTCTTTGAATTTCTTGACACCAAGAATGAAATAATATTTCAATACGCCATTTCCAGACACGATGTGCTGATTTTTTGAAAGCTCGAATATCGACTGAAATTCTTCGTAAAATACACAGTGGAAGGAGACACGCATCTTCAGTTGAAGAATAGTCAAATTTTGTTGGTAAAGTCAAAGTAATCCAATGAAATATTGCGTTCGTACACCACGTTAAGATGTTGACTTTTTGAGCGTGAATTCTCGAGATTTGTTCAGCAGCATAATGTTCTGTCATCTCCTTTGATGTTATGGGTTTTATAAGCTGAGACATACCTTGAGTCACGCCTCGATCACATTTTGTGTCCATGTCGAATGTATCATTTGATATTGAATTGCGTCTGTGATCGTTTATTGTTAAACTTTGAATTGGGGAATGGAGAGATAACATATCGTTGAAATGATCATGTTGGTGCTGAATAAAGTCTGTACATTGGTCTCGTGAGCGTAACCTTTTACGCCTCGAGTGATTACTGTAATCGAAGTTTAAGACTTTTTTATACCAGTCTTGCTCTGGATCAATAGACAATGAAAGAAGATACCGATGATACACAGCATCGTCAGGAGCTCTGATGTTATTGAGTTGAAAGATTTGAGTTGATGCTTGTATTAAGTCGATGAGAGAAAGTGGCTCGACGTCGTTTGGTACCATCCGACGCTTCGTACATTCTGCTAGTCGATAGATTTGAATCAAAATATTGCGTTTCTTTTCAGGATTCTCAACATTATGTTGAGACTGGGAATCATGCAGATGAGCATGTTGAATAGACATTTGATCTTGATAATGGAGATTGCAAAAATATGCAGTTTCTCTTGTTTAAGGCTAAAGCGGCAGATTGTCGTTTCATTCAGGTCTAGTGGATGGATAAGTTCGAACATGTTTCTAGCTTAAGTCGTTAATGGTGAATGGTTATACAACCTTTGCAATTGATATTGTTGTTGTTCTGAACTCGTAAAGATATCGAAAAGATTATTTCAGATCTTAAGAGAAAAGAACACAACATTTTCTGTACGATTTCATGAGAGAAAGTGATAATTAAAATTTACGGAATTATGTGTCGCTGAACATCAAAATTAGATATCATTTTTTGATTCGAGGGAAAAAACTCTCATCCGAGATATTATGGTTTGACACCTCGGCGGTGTGTCGCGAATTCATCCTCTGTGCGTTAGTTTACACCGACTCGAAGTTTCTTTCCTTTGTGCAAGGTGCACGGCAATTCTGCTGCAACGAGAGATAGTGAATTGATATGTGTCCACATTTTTCGCTCAACTTTTTGGCGAAGCTGTGAAAAAGCTGTAGCAGACGGCATGTAGGCGGGTGATGATGACGCTGGCATTTCAATGTGGTTTTGCCTCTTAATAAGTAGTTCAAAGCAGTGGACATTTGATCAAGTTTGGTAGAACAGTAGATTATGCTTCCTCGCCTCTGACAGATCACTGAGGCGATATATTGCGGATTAAGTGTTATTTGTTGAATAAGCTCTCCAGAAGGCTGAAGTACTCAAGTCATCGAAATGCCTGCCGATGATAGTTTGCTCGACGCCAGCGCCAATTACCGCCTCATTTTCCGCGCTTGATACTAGACATTGTCACCGGATTGTCCCGTGCTCAGTGCATCTACCCAGTCTAACTCCAACCTTTTCTACCCATGATTTCGACATCACCCCATGATTTCGACAACAAGTACTAAGAGACCCAAAATTCTATGAAAGAGACGGTACTTGACTTCATGCCAGCTGCATACCGAAGAATACCTACTTGTTAGAATACTGCGTTGGTCAGGTCCCTCGTGACTGAATATCATAGCAGATTTTAATTACTTGACACTTTGATATCGAAAATGAGCTGAAACTCAGGCACTGCTCAATTAACTACCAACTAGTAACTCAGAATGATTGCACCACACCACCATTAGTTTTTTTATCTATGATTTCATTCAAATAGTAAAATGGCCGGAACAGAAAATAGTTCATAGTTTCCGACTTAATTTACACTTTTCCACTTTTGACGTATTTAATAATGATGTCATCAGCGGCTAGTTCTGCTTGTCAACTGTATACAGCTGGAGTGCGTGCCGCTTTGCGACATAAATGATGATTTACACGATTGTAACGACTAATCACTAGATCGTTTGGGTGTAAAGTCAAATTAAGAATTTGTAAATATTACATCTTATTACAAATAATAAGAGCACCTCAAATCGTCCTTGTCCATTCAGCGGAAGGAAATAACTGGTATGATTGCGCTGAAGCAAACCACAAACTTTCAAAACTGCTTGACCAGCTCAATCCACAGCTCTGAAAAGGCAGACTACATTTACCGGTATATCTCGTGTCGGCCCTTGCTGCATATGTAAGTTTACTACGAGCATCGCTTAATACTTCGGTGCTTGAGCAGTATATGATATGTTCTCAACCAATTGAGCAGACAGTTTTTCGCCTCGATCTCGAAAAAAGGAGACTACACATGTCACGTGTATCATCGACGATTATGCAATTGGTTTTTCGTGGGCACAAATGTCATGCAATGCGTTGCTCATTTCATATAGCCGTACGCTCTTACAGATATGATGAGT